CGGAAATGGGTTTGTATGCCTGGCTCTGAGCCCCTGTTTTTATGTGTTTTCCCAGGCTCAGGCTGTGAAAAGCTGGAATATTTGCTGAATGTAACAATAGCTCCAGAAGTGTCTGTGGATGAGTACCAGAAAATAATGAGTCCTTACGTTTCTACCAGTACTGCAAATGATGCAGTGGGAGAACTGAAAGAATGTTTTCTCAAGCAGTCCAATGAGACTTTGGCCAATGTGAAAGTGATGCTGGTGAGTGTGTTTTGTTCTTTGGTACTTTCTATCATAACGATCCAAGGAAATCAGAGGCTGAGTTTGTCATTTATAATATCAAACAACTTGGTATGCACACTCTTTAAAAAGTCTATCATTACAAGAGGAATTTTTTTTTGTTTGTCTCTATGTCTGTGTGTCTGTGTGTCTGTGAGTGCATGTGTGCATACATGCGAGCATGTGTGTGAGTCCTAGGGTTGGAAGTCAGGGCCTGGGTGTTGTCTCTGAGCTTTCCTGCTCAAGGCTAGTGTTCTAACATTTGCCCAACAAGCTCCACCTCTGACTTTTCTCATGAACTTTCCTGCCCGGCTGGCTTCAAGCTCATTTTCAAGACCTTACACTCAGTACGTGAAAATGGTTCAAAATTCTTCCAGTTGCGCAGGAATTTTAGCAGTCCTGTGGTAAAAGAGTGGTATCCAAAGAGTTCAAAGTGCTGGGTTCTCAGCCAATAATATCTGTGGCATCTCTACAGGTAAGTATTTCAAACAAGAGCCAGCTCAGGGAAACATGAATCAAATGTACCATTAGGACTTGTAGAAAGAATGGCACTCCTTTGGCAACAAGAACCATTTCCTGAGCAGTAAATAATCTGAGCATATAATCTGATTTTGCTTCTAGAACACCTTGGATACCACTTATTAGTGCTAAAGAGAGTACACACACACACACACAATCTCTCTCTCTCTCTCTCTCTCACACACACACACTATAAAAAGAGTGATTTTAGGTTTAAATACTTGACTCTGCAAGACCTAGTTGAACATGCAAGTGATGGCCCTGTTCTGTTTTCCAGACTCACATATACAACAGTGTGTCATGTGATCCTTATTAAACTTCCACAACATCCAAGACCCAGAGGAATATATGATGTGCTCAAACACCGACTGCTGATGCCATAAAACCAGGCTTTTCCCTCTTATTTCTGTCCTTTAGTACAGGAGATTCAAGACAATTGTTGAAACATTCTCATCCCAATAAACTAACTGCAAGCATGAAAGCTCTGTGTTGTTATTCTAGAATAGGATGAAGAAAACAAGATGGTGATAATCAGACCATCACAACAGTAAAAGGAGCAAGCATGCCTACACAGACCCCTTGTGTGAGCGCTGCACTGGAGCTTGGAGGCACTTGTGAGCAGTGTGTCAGTGGCCAGGTGCCATGATTGGATTTCCCCACCGGTCCAGGTTTCCAGCAAATCACTGGGCTCTGATGGCATCTTCCTGCTGTTTCCTGTACTGACGCCAGGCCAATCCTGTGGCCCATACTCTCCTTTGCTGGGAGGGATCAACGGCAGGATCTGAGGGATAAATAGAGGAGTGCTGGGTGCTCAGCTCCCGAGACAATTCCGTGATTCTGTTCACATCCAAGGCAAGAGCCAGCCACAAGCACCTCACCATGAAGCTACTGGTGGTCTTCATGCTTGCTGCCATCCCCCTGTGCTGCCATGCTGGTGAGTTCTCTGCAGGAAAGGCTTCCTTGGGACCACAGGTTGTTACCTGAGCCCTTAGGGAACGTGTCTATTCCCCAGCCCCCACTCCAGGCCTAATGTAGTACAATGGGGCTGGGTGACATTTTTAAAATAAAAATACCATTAATGCAGATCTTCAGAGAGGCAGAAGTCTGGAGGATATTTTTCCCGCCTTTGACCTTCTAGACAGTGTACCATGTCCTCTCAGGGCATTACGCCATGACATGAGGTGGTTCATGAAATGAGGATTGAGTAATAGAGTTAGATATTCGGTGGGGCTGGTGGAAGAGTGAATATGATGCTGGAGACAGACGCAGATGGATTTCTGAGAGCCTTGTGAGTCTCCTTAAATATGGAAAGGAAATGAGAAACCTCCCAGAAACAACATGCAGGCTGTAGCTAAGACCGATCATTAAACAGTTTCACCTCACATGGTATATGTTTGTGGGTTTGATCTGAGTTCTCCCAAGAGGCATTTAGCTTCAAATACCTCCATGTTCAAGTACCTCCATGTTCAATGCTGACCAGGGTTGAATCCATGTCCTCCATAGTCCTCTCAGTGCACTAAACAGCAAAATGCTGTCGGGCTGAGATGGTCAGCATAGACCTGTCCCAGGGGTCATGTTATATGCACAGCTTATGACGCTTGTTTGATTGCCTTTGGCGCTTGTTCCCAAGTTGGTGTCCATTGGTCAAGAGACAAGGTGTGCATGAACTACATAAAAACTGATCTAGGCAAGGATAAAGCCAGCTCATTCCCACCCAGCATCTGCGTTCTTTCACCACAGATTGATCACATACGGTCACTTCAACGACAAGGAGGTTTTTACTTGGTTAAATAGTGTTTGGTGGCATCAGGGATTGACTTCAGGGCCTTTATTATAAAATCCTTCTACTACTTGAACCAGTCCGGCACTCCTTTCATCTTTCTTTTCAATTTGCTCTTTAGAGAGACTTGCATAGTTCACCCTGGGACTGACTCTTCAGACTATATAGATTCTCTTAGCAAAAGCCTGCCTTCACCCTCAGGCCAACACATAAGGTTCAGTTTTTCATTGCCAGTTGATACAGGCTATATTTTGACTTTCAAAAAGCTAGTGGAAAGTAATTAACACTCAGTATTTCAAGAATATTTAGAAATCCCAAATCACACTCTTAAAGATAGCAATGACACATGGCATGCCCTTGAACACAAGAAGACTCAGTCTTGTTTACCTGGACACCAAGTCAGTTCATCTCATGTCTCGAGGGTCTTGTTAGCCAATGTACCATAGCGTTTATCTTCTTTGGCGTTGTGTAATTGGGCAAAATCGAATAGGACTTAAAGGACACCAAGAGCATGAATTTTCTGTGCTAGACCTAAGAAAGTTGGACACTGTCCCAATCCCTCTGTTCCCCTTCCATGTTTAACTCCTTTCTGAACCTGTGTCTCTATGAAGACCTGTGATGATTGTCATCATCAACCTAAAGAGCACCGGAAATGTGTTTGTATGCCTGGCTCTGAGCCCCTGTTCTTATGTATTTTCCCAGGCGCAGGCTGTCAAAAGCTGGAATATTTGTTGGATGCAACAATAAGTCCAGAAGTATCTGTGAGTGAGTACCAGGAAATGATGAGTCTTTACGTTTCTAACAGTGTTGCTAATGATGCAGTGGGAGAACTGAAAGAATGTTTTCTCAAGCAGTCCAATGATACTTTAGCCAATGTGAAAGTGATGGTGGTGAGTGTTTTGTTTTTTGGTACTTTCTATCATAACGAACCCAAGAAAATCAGAGGCTGAGTTTGTCATTTATAATACCAAACAACTTGGTATGCACACTCTTTTAAAAAGTCTATGATTACAAGTGTAATTTTTGTTTGTTTGGCTCTATGTCTGTGTGTCTGTGTGTCTGTGAGTGCATGTGTGCATATATGCGAGCATGTGTGTGAGTCCTAGGGTTGGAAGTCAGGGCCTGGGTGTTGTCCCTGAGCTTTTCTGCTCAAGGCTAGTGCTCTAACATTTGCCCAACAAGCTCCACCTCTGGCTTTTCTCATGAACTTTCCTTCCTGACTGGCTTCAAGCTCATTTTCAAGACCTTACACTCAGTAGGTGAAAATGGTTAAAAACTCTTCCAGTTGCGCAGGAATTTTAGCAGTCCTGTGGTAAAAGAGTGGTATCCAAAGAGTTCAAAGTGCTGGGTTCTAAGCCAATAATATCTGTGGCATCTCTACAGGTAAGTATTTCAAACAAGAGCCAGCTTAGGGAAACATGAATCAAATGTACCATTAGGACTTGTAGAAAGAATGGCACTCCTTTGGCAACAAGAACCATTTCCTGAGCAGTAAATAATCTGAGCATATAATCTGATTTTGCTTCTAGAACACCTTGGATACCACTTATTAGTGCTAAAGAGAGTACACACACACACACACAATCTCTCTCTCTCTCTCTCTCTCACACACACACACTATAAAAAGAGTGATTTTAGGTTTAAATACTTGACTCTGCAAGACCTAGTTGAACATGCAAGTGATGGCCCTGTTCTGTTTTCCAGACTCACATATACAACAGTGTGTCATGTGATCCTTATTAAACTTCCACAACATCCAAGACCCAGAGGAATATATGATGTGCTCAAACACCGACTGCTGATGCCATAAAACCAGGCTTTTCCCTCTTATTTCTGTCCTTTAGTACAGGAGATTCAAGACAATTGTTGAAACATTCTCATCCCAATAAACTAACTGCAAGCATGAAAGCTCTGTGTTGTTATTCTGCATAAGCAGAGGCTTCGGTAGGCGTCCATACAGCAGCATGCCCATCTACACATGTTCACAGTTTTTCCTTAAAGAGCCCCCGAGAGTCTTCAGGATGGAAGACTCTGGAAAGTGCTTTCCCTGCAGAAGTCTGTCCTTAGCATGGGTCCTTTCTCTGGAGAAGCCTCTCTCTGTGGGGAACACAACTCTCTCTAATGACCTCAGGCTGGTGCCATCTACAGTTGGTTCAGATCAGATTCCTCAGGGTACCTCCCTCCCCACCCGTGCCTTCTCCTCGCTTCCCAAAGTGGAAGAAAGACGAGAACTTAAAACACACTTCTCCTTTACTTTACAGTGCCAGGACCACACTGGAGGGTGAGACAGGCTTGTATAGACTTGAGGAATGACGGTGACCTGTGTCTGGACAGAATGCTCCATTCTGTACCCCTGTCCAACACATCTCTATGGAGGAAAGCAGAGGAACCTCTGAATCCACCATTTCTCAGAGGACAATACAGTAGGTTGGGGAAAACTAGAAAGGATGGCATGATAACATCTGTGCTTTGTTAATTATTACTAGCATAAAAGTGAGGTACAGAAAGATAACAGTTACATAAGTCAGGTAATGAGCACTTTCCTTTTTGGATGTCACTCGTTCCCTCTCTCTTTCTAGTTTTTCTCACCTGTCCCCACCCACAAGTTGTATACTTCATTTTCTACAGAGTGTGTAGTGAATATCACTGCTGCAGACGTTCATCCTTGGTCCCTCCATCTCTGCTTTCTTGTTAATGCTAATGATGATGTTAATGCACACAAGGATTAACCATTTCCAACCTCATGTCTGGTCTAGCCAAAAAGACAGTAAACCTGTGTCCACATACTACATGTCATTTTCCTTTTCCTCCTGGTTGGAGAGAGAAACTCCACTAAATGGGTGTTAGGAAAGATGAAGCATTTGAAAGGAAAGAAGAAAGCAAAGATCTCAAGAGATCAGAGCAGGATTTAAGCATCACCCAAGAGGAGCAACAAGTAGCACTGAACAGAGCTGAGATACAAGGGGCGTAGAGCATGGGGATTTAGAGTTTCAATATAGTCAAGTCTGAGAGCATTGGATTTGCAATTTCCTCGTAGTTGTAGAAGAGGTTCTGTTTTGGATTCATGATGTCTTCTCAATTGTGGCAGAAGGTGCTGTTCCTTCAGATAAGGCCAGGGTGAGGTTTTGCTGAGAATAGCTCAAGGATAGGGATTCCTAGGTTCTTATCAGATGGGTCTCCAGGGGAAGATGGTCAGTGGCCATAGAAGCAACATCGAGTTATGAGAGCAAAGCAGAGTCCCATTGTTTGAGATACTGAAGGGGTATGAAAGGTTGAGGGGTGTGGTGGTCTTTCCTGGCTACTTCCTGCTGACATGGGGTTGTTGTGGGGAAGGGAGGATCTTGGGAGTCTCTGGTTGCTCATAGCAGAAGGATAGCATTTACATGTTTCCAAGTTGCAGCCTGTGTCATTGCTGCTAGGTGATCAATGAGAAATTTCTGCAAGAGATTTAGAATACAGAGCAATAAAGTTCTTAGGAGGAAGAGGAACAGCAGGGGAGCCAGTACTAGGAGGAAGAGCCAGGAAGTCCAGCTCCAGATGTTTTTCCATTGGCTCCCTGACTTTACTCAGCAGAAGGCAGGTAAAGGACATAAGGAGACTGACAGTACATTACAGCCATG